AGAGAATAGATAAGCTAATCATAGTATTGATTGTATACTCTTAAGTGGGTTTTTACCTTTTAATCTATTTGTATATATTGTAACGTTAAATACTTACTTACGCTTGTTATTCCTCGTGGAGGAGCATAGATCGCTCACTAGTATTCTCCATCCAACCTTGTCCCAAGTAATCCTTTCCAGCTCTTTCCAATTATTATTCATCCTTTTCATATCTGATTCTATTTCCCGATGTAATGTGTTATTTGACCTTTCTCTTTCCCGTTTCCCTTCAGAATTCCAAGTTAGGACTTGTCTCGCAACGCAGTTTGGTGATTTCCTCAATGTATGTATTATCCATTTCTATCCTTTTTTCCTAATTTCCTCCTCAGCTTGAAGCTGGTTTGTTCTCTTCCACATTAGGCTGTTACTGATGATATTTGGCCAATGGATATTGAGTATCTTGCGTAGACAATTATTTATAAATACTTGTATCTTCTTGATGATGGTTGTAGTATTTCTGCAAGTTTCAGGTTGATACAGTAGAACTGTGTTGACGTTCGTATTGAAGATTCTGACTTCATATTGGTTGAGTTTTTTTTGAGTTCCATATGTTCTTCAATTGTAGGAATGCGGCCCTTGCTTTGCCAATCCTTGCCTTTAAGTCTGCATCTGATCGTCCTTGTTCTTAAATAGTGTGAACTAATCAATATAGCAACATTCCTACGATTAATTTCGATTATGGTTAATTTTTGTCAAGCCATTTTATTAACTTATTTAACAATTCATCTATGTCTTTGTACCATTATGATCGGCGAAACTATAATTTATGAACGAACCAATCACATACAAGATAACGAGTTTTGCGTTTTGGCGCGAAAGTCATTCATCCATTTGGCTAAGTAGCGTTTTGACATCATTGCTGATGTCAATTCGTGATAATAAACCTTAATCTAATTCCTAGCCCTAATCCTTAACTGCAAATCATAATTCTAATTCCTCACACAGGTTTATAATCCTCATTCAGTGTCAGTTATTAGGTGTACATTTTCAGGGTCACTTTAGCATTACTTAAAGGTCGTCTATAAATGATAGTCTCACCTCATGATCACTATCTTGTCTGTATAAACGTGTATGTTTGATCACATGTGATAGTCTACGCACATATCACTCTCTAGCTTAAATATCACTTGATGAATCAATCTGTCTTTCCTATCTGAGCCTTGATTCGATATGACTATAGATTCACATCTGAAGATGCTCGCTCAAATATATGCTAGCCTCTCTATTTCAATTCGCTCAATGTGTTTGTAGCTTTGTTATCTGTGCTATCCGCTGATAAACTGTAATCGTCACATCTTATCGCCTTCTAAATTCAAACACCGTTGGAATTTATATAATAACAATGACAAAGGTGATTGATTAACGAAGCTAAGTCACTATATCAGTTAGGTTAAGATAAATGAACGATATCTTTTGGCTTGATCCCCAAATTTTTTATTGTGTTAACGATATAAATTTTATTAATATTCTGTTTAAATTCTGCATCTATGCAAAAGCGAAGTTCTCAAAATTGTGATCGTCAAATACTTAGGGAGTATGTTCAAATTATTCTAATTAATGAATAAACAAAATTGTCACTACTACGTTGCTTTGCAAAAGTTATTTCTTATAAGTAATGTAACTAATCAAATCAATTTTGGTCTTCATTACATTTGTTGATGACGAAACTGCGAGATATCAGTCTACTAACAAAAGGACGGGGTTAATGCGCAGCAGTTCGTTCCATTCTACATTATGGCTGTGAATCATGGCCGGTAAGAGTAGAGGATATTCCTAGGTTACTCGTATTCGATCATAGGTGTCTTCGAAGCATTGCTCGTATATCCTGTGACCACTCAGTAAGTAATACAGTTGCTAGGAAACGGGTACTAGGTAAGGATGGGAAATCAATTGTTGAAGTAGTGAAACTTCATCAGTTGAGATGGTTGTGGCATGTGTTACGTATGCCCAACTGCCCCGACGAGCGATGTTTTATGGTGACGAGTAGGTTAGGGGAAAGTTAGGGGCTACATTCCTGGTAGATTTGTAGTTGTATACTACCTGCGCAAACCTGGCTTTTGTCTAGCTGAAATTTCATCCTAGACTTGTTGTGAAGTGCAAGAAGTTTAGTCAATTCAATTTTTCAACGGATGTATGTGTATCTAAATTAAAAATTCTTTTCTTTCAGTTAAATATTTTAAAATCGATAATCAAATTAAATGAGCGATTCCAAGAGCTTTTTTAGGTTGAATTCTCTTCTGTACAGAAATTAAGAACTATTAATATATATGCTATCGAAAATGATAGTGAAATTTGCGTCCAGTTACATTATTCTTTGTGGAAATTGATGGGATTTAAAGTGAAATCTATCCACGGACTCAAGTTGATGTGGTCGACAAAAGTGAGGTAAAATCTACTAGAAATATACGTTTAGCACAAGTAGATCATGAAAATATCTTTCGACACACTGATTTGTAAAGATATCATTAACGTAAAGTTCTATATAATAGCCATAAGTCGGACATTCTCGATGGATCGCCAACCCTGATTTAATTTTTGGAAATGAATTTATACTACCTACAAACTATATAAGTAGGTAAAGTGTTACAGTAAAATCAAACATGTCATTTGGATTTAATATGACACATTTGAGACCACGTCCCCACCCAAATATATAAGCAGCGATTAATCAAACTATTATCTTGCCATTATCTGAAAATGATTAAATTTTTTATTTAGTGTGATAATCATGATTAACGAATAAATATAACAGTTGAAACGCCTAGTAAATGTCAACTGACAAATCCTTTCTTTCTCTCAGTAAATCTTGAGCTTATTATCATTCCGAACTAAAAAAAATCTCCCGTTCCTTTCGAAATACAGTACTATGAATATTGTTACTAGCATAATCCCGTTTCTCAATTTGTAAACTCCCTCCCCTTTTATGATAATTTGGATAGATTAACAATCATACCATGTGCTACACATTGTCGATAAATAATTTGACAACGGTGATTTAAATAGCCGATAAAGAATACATAACTAGCTAAATGGGAACCATTCCATACCACCTAATTTACACTAAACACCTTATCTATCAACGACTGAGACATGTATAGAGCAGGGAATATCTTCTGGACTATTACTTTGGTGTTCAACTTCAGAACTCCGCCTGGAGATCCTCTAGGGCTACTGCCGGTCCCAAACCTGGGAAAGGAGGAGGTTTGGGCATAGGGTTAGAGATCCCATCCCGCAGAAATATAACTCGTTAAGAAAACGATAACCAGAGAAAGTAATTCAAACCACTTAAACTCTGCCCTGGGAGTAAGGAGGTCTTCATTTTGAAGAGTTATGATGCCCCATTGCGAATACCGAGTTCCTTCGGAAGTCACGAGGCTGATATTTCTTCTGATAACTAGAGCAAACGTTAATTTAGGTAGATGAAAAGTTCGTACAATGTGGGAGAGTCATCCAAGTTGCTGCTGAAATGAAAAGATACAACCTGGAGGTGGTTGGAATCAGTGGAATACATTGGACGCAAGCTGGACAACAAAGACTAGCTTCAGGGGAGCTGCCGTTATACTCCGGCCATGAAGAAGAAAATGCCCCATACACATAAGGAGTTGCACTGATGCTATCCAAACAAGCACAAAATGCACTTGTACGATGGGAATCTCATGGACAAAGGATCGTCAAAACCTCCTTTAAAACAAAAAGTGAGAGCATTACAATGAACGTCATCCAAATGCTATGCGCCTACCAACCATTACAATGAAGACGTTACAGATCAATTCTAAGATAGGCTACAGTCAATCATTGGTAAATACCCAAAAAAGGACTTGACCATTCTGATGGGAGATCTAAATGCCAAGGTTGGGATGAACAATAACAGATATGAAGACATCATGGGACATTGACTGGGAGAAAGTAACGAAACTGGTGAGGGATTTGCAAACCTATGTGCCTTCAACAAACTGGTCATAGGCGGCACCATATTCCTACATAAACGCATACACAAAGCCACCGGATCACACTACACAGAACTAAATCGACCATGTCTGCATTAATAAAAAGTCCAGAAGGACGATGGAAGACGTGAGAACCAATAGTTTATATAGCCTCAGATCATCACTTGATGGTCGCCAAGATGAAATTGAAACTCAAGAAGCACTGGACAACGGGGCGGACAATATCACAAAAGTTCAATGCGGCTTTTCTTTGGGATACTAACAAACTCAACAAATTCAAGATAGTCCTCAGCAACAAGTTCCAAACCTTTCACGATCTACTCAATGGAGAGAGGACCACTATGGAGAACAAATGGAAAGGGATCAAGAAAGCAAGCACTTCAACATGTCATGAGGTTCTGGACCACAAGAATTACCATCACAAGGAATGGATCACTGTTGATACACTGGATCAGATTCAAAAAAAGGAGGTACAATAAGGCAGCAATCAATATCAGCCGAACAAGAACAGAGAAATTTCCCATGGCTACCAAATTTATTATGGATAAAGAACTATTCATCAATATATGTACTTCGAAGTCTCAACTTATAGATAGGTTACAATATCAAATGTGTTATCTATTAGAAATAAAATTATGCTATTGGCAACATATTCAAACTGAGAAATTGTTTCATCATATCATTCGATTGGAATTGAATTACTTTTCCTCAAGTGGTAGTGTAAAACATAGTACAAGTATAGCTACAATTACATGGCAGCAACCATTCATATTGGAATCTTTGTATCAGACTATAATCAGATATTATTGACTTGTGTATTTATGATTACTAATGATAGAACTCAATAATTATAACTTAAACAGATATGAAACAGAATTAAAACATGTAACCAAGTCAAAACACATCAAGTACTAATTGATACCTAATAAAGCAAACACCTATGGTTTACTATGGGATAAAGGAAAAAAAATACACAAAATATACATTCTTAGGAAGGAGAAAAAACAAACAAATACTTAATTGGCTCTTTTATTTTACCTTTATGACAGAAAAGACAAATTTCAAGAAGATATAAAGGAATGAATAGAACAATTTGAGTTGAATAACATGAAGTTAGTACATAAAATTAATATGATACAAGTACTATTCACCATGGAAAAAAAAAGAAAAGAACTTCCGAGGTTTTTATAGTTTATCTATAAAAAAAAATACATTCATACAATACAAGGACACCAATGAACAGAATGTATGTATATATCACATAAACATCAATGGGAAAAAATAACAACAGAATCATACAATATATAAATAGAAAATAATAAAGGGAACATACACAATGAACAATAATATGTATCTTCCTTCTCTTTCTCTCCTCATGTACATACAACGATAGAATGGTAAAGAAAAATAGAAAAAAGACTATTGATACTACTTATCTGTCTTTATTAGTAATATGGAATTGAATAAAAGAGAGACTAAACATTGTCATCAAATAATGTTTATGAAGAAAAATGAAGCGAGTGAAGAGAAAAGAAATTCATTTTGTCCAGTGTATTCTCTCTTTTGAAAGTAATCCATGAGAGGGTGTGTGTGTGTGTGGGGGGGAATTCAAGAGAAAAAAAGAAAGGAAAAAAAAATCATCCTAGACATGAAATCATAACATATGGGATCAGAAAAAGAAGAAAAACAAACAAAATCAATCAAATAACATATACACAATAATAGTGTTGACAATTATCATTGACAGATATTGGCAAAGTATATGAAAGTAATTTATTTCATTAAAGCTTTAACAACAGCATTTACTGATAACTGACGAAGATCAGAATAAGTTTGACCTGTACCAACAAATACAATAGGTTGATTTGAAATACATGCCATAGAAATAGCAGCTCCAACCTGAAAAACAAAAGAAAATTGCGGAATGAATTAGTTAGTTCAAAGGATGAATTAATAACTCAGCCAAATGTAACGTGGAAATCGGTACATCAGTTTAGTTTGAAAATAAGTAGCAACAAAATTGTACTATTATATACAAAAACACTTAAACGTGCATATAAAACAAACAATAGAAATATAACACATTCCTCATCTATATTGCATAGGTGGATTTAGTTAGTAATCATGCTCAACATGATGTTATTCATTGAGGATAGAGATGTGATTCGACCAGGTGTTTTACTACTGAGAGTATGTTATATCTAGATCTTAGATTCTTGCTATACCGCCCACTACTTGAGAACACGAACGCTAGAATCCTCTAAATCGCAAGTGAGAAGGAATGTCATTCCAAAGCGTCAAATAAGTACAAAACTCTCAAGTATTCATAGTTTCTAGTAAAAACGATATCATCATTACAGCAATTCAATCTGAGTACAGTGGTTTCTAGCATTTGCTCAATCGGGAATCTATACGTCAAGATTCTGGGATGTTCTTCCAAAAAATGACTACTTGGAATGTCTTCGGCTTTTTTCGAGCTTCATAGAACTTCAGCTATGCGTGTTAGCACGTGGTCAAGAGTCTCCTGCAAGTCCATTTTTTCTGCTCTCATGATTATGATATCGTCCTCCAAGCTGAAAAGTGCGAATGTTGTATACAGCAGGTGCGACTCCTTAGTTTCATAAGAGATAAAGATGAGAGACGACCAGACCCAAAGGATATCGAAGCTATAAAAACTATGTCTACGCCTAAGGATATCCTTACTCTACGATCTTTCTTGAGATTGGTTAGTCATTACGGAGCTTTTCTTCCTGAAAATCATCATGCGCGCCCCTCTGAATTGTTTACTAACAAAGAATATCAAGAAGCATTCTTAAAACAACTCCTATCATCAAATCTTCTACTTACGCACTATGACCCGGCCCTTCCTATTGTGGTCGCAGCAGATGCATCAAATTACGGAATTGGAGCAATGATTTCACGTATCTACCCCTATGGATCTGAGAGAGCAATTGCCCACACTGCACGATCACTGGCAACAATAGGAAGGAACTATAGTCAGATAGAGAAGGAAGCCCTATCCATTATCTTCTCTGTGAAAATGTTTCACAAAATGCTATTCGGCAGGCAGTTTACGTTACTAAGAGACCACAAACCGCTACTGGCAGTTTTTGGATCCTAAATCATTCTTTTTACTTAAAGAGATTTAAGGATAGTAATTAAAGGTTATATTCAATGGATAAAAGTGTACCACCTATATAAGTCAAAACTAAGAACAAGTGTGTATATGTATTAAACTTTTATTTTTCCTAACTGATTTATGTTTTTTCAATTAATATTAGACATTTTTAATTTCAATAGAGAATCGTGGTACCTCAAATCAACGTTTTATTACACTATCTACCATTCATGCATTCCTTAATTTATTTGAATTCATATTATATCTCCAGGAGATCAAGGATAAGAAAATGTCTATGAAAACACATTTTTCAATACCTTATCATCAATGGTGTCGAATTTAGTCAATACAATGCCATCAATGGACCTAGGGCGATCAGAATAGCTATGATCTGCAAGTGATTGATTGAATTTAACCAGTTGATCAACTGCTTCATTACCAACCAACGCTTCACCAACGAACAACACAAGATCCGGTTGGTTGGTTTGAATAAGCTAGAAAAGGGTAGTAGAAAGGGTCACAAAATTGAGAAAACTTTTGAAAATACAATTTAATGAAACGTTTTTACTATTTCAACATCGGACATCAAAATAACAGAGAAATTGTTGTGAGATATCCATTATAAACTGATAAAATGATAAGTAGATGCCTGTACACAACAACAAATGCAAATGACGGTAGTCAGTGTGGCAGCAGCCTCTGCAGGAGTAAGCTTTGACATTCACAAGGAAAAAAGCGAAACATAAAAATATGGGACAGCGAGAACTAACCAATCAAATTACATTGGATGGGGAAGCTATGAAAGAGGTGGGAAGTTTTACGTACATGAGGAGTATCATTGATAAAAGAGGATCTGATGCAGATGTAAAGGCATAGATTGACGAAACAAGGATAGTATTCCTAAAATTAAAGAACATCTGGAACCCTTGTAAGGGCAATGGTGGAGAGAGTCAGCTCTCCCTCTCAAAATGTTCTCCCATGGCCACGCGTGTACAGACACTGAACGAAGTTCCACTCACTGCCTTTTCGCAGCGAGGATGTTGTTTGCGAAATTCAGAGGACGAAAGGCGAATGTCCGACGCTTTATTTGGGTTGGTGGACTGGAGGGTCCACCTCAAGGAGTTGGAAAACATTCATTCCAAACTAATGGTGCATATGGGCTCCAGAAGTGTGAAGAAAAAAAACGGTGTATGAACCTATTGTTGATCTTGTTGTCCTGGTACGGTAAAGCGACTTTGGCTAACCCTCATTTATACTAGGCTTTAATTTGATATCTCACTGAATTATTACGACTATAAATCTGTAAGCTATAAGAATAGTTTAATTTCCAAAAAAAATATGTGACTTACCGAAGCTAAAGCACGCATTAATGGTTCATTGTCTTGCATACGCCCAGCTGTGTCCACAAGTACAACATCAAAGTGTCGATCACGGGCTATTAAGAAAGACAAGAAAAACAAGTATTAAGTAATTTAAAATTTATGACGTACATATGTATGTTTTAAGCATAACCCGATTATACTTATGATTTGAATTGAGTGTATGTAATGGGAGTTAATCAGGCTTCAGTCTGGGCACCCAGGCAGTATCACAGCCCTCACACATATCGAATGAGATTTGTGTGGCGCATATGTATTTAGTGCCTCTTTGTACCAATATCTATATGTTGAAATAAATAAATAAATAATCAGGCAACAACTAATGTCGAAATTTCTTCTTACTGAACGCGTGAGTGGGTTTCATAAGCTCTTTAAATAACCACAGGCTAAATCTACATGACAACATGAACACGAGAGAAAAGGCACGGTGTGAAAAGAACGCTTTACTCAAAAGTTAGATTTATGTACAGAATACGAGGATATTTATAGTATTTCAGAGGGCGTTAGGTTTCTGGAAGATTCCGTAACCATACTGAACACAATAGTAAGATAAGTAATCATTCAGAAATGTGATACGTGACGCTTCACTTTCTCGGTATTTCTGAAAAACATCTATTCAATGCTGTTTGGATAAAATGTTTCTAAGATCTTTCAGGTCCCCTCTGAAGTTTTTCGAGGAATACTTTGGATCCCCCAAAACTTACAGTAAAACAGGATTATTAGTTTTAACAGTCAATTTGATTATACAGTTTTTCAACATTAAGGGCTACAGTAAACAGTTTAAAACGCAGTTTCAGGAGATCAAAGATGATATTTTGTGAGCTTGAATCAGTTATCAATCACATGATCGAAAGGTTGCTGTGATATGATAATCAAATCATTCGATATACAACAGATTGTAATTCGGTAGCTTAGTGAGTATCCATTCTGACTGAAACTAATGATCCGTAGCTATCACACCAACGACTAAAAATTATAAATACATCAATATTCTAATAGGGATGATACGAATGAACACAATGAAACAGTTTAATGATCAATTACTGACTTTTGCAGTGATTTTTGAATCCTGTCTAATGTGTAACGACTACATCTACAATCTGGATGGATGAAAGGTAGAATGGAAATCAGACCTGATATCTAGTGATGGAAAGTAACTTGTTCGAATCACTTAACTTCAGATAGACAACAACACCCACGCCACGAGAAGGCAGTGAGTAGAACTTCCTTGGCAGAGGCTGTGTACGCGTGGCCGTGTGAGAGCATTTCGAGAGGGAGGGCGGGCCCACCCCACATTCGGCCATACCATGGCATTTAAGGGTACAGATAAACCACCAAAATTATATTTTATTCAGAAAAAATAGCAGGTATATAGTGAGATTGGAGCTAGAATTCGGTACGACGCTTAACTATTTTAAGAAATTAAAGAACGATTTCACTTTATAGGCTTCTATTCAAACAATCACATTCAACAATTGTTGACTAGAATGTGCGATTTTCTTAAATAAAATAAACGCTTAACATAGACCTAGGAAAATCAGACATATATATAATAGTGAATGTAAAAGTACACTTTATACCATAGTTAATTGCAGAACGAGCTATTGAGGCTGCATCACGCCCATATCCTTGCTCATACAGTTCAACCATAGTTTGACCACCATGCTGATCAGCTGGATGAATATAATTTAATTTACGTACATGTGTACGCAGCTGTTCAACAGCACCAGATCGAAAAGTATCACAGGCAGCTATAAGGACACGGAAATTCTTCTCGATAAGCCAAAAAGCGATCTATAGGAAAAGCGAAATACCATTATGATTAATTTCATGTATGAACAGTTTAGTACAATTTTACTGTCACTATTTGTGAAAATTAGATTTAAAATAATTTCACCGATTGAAACTTAAATAATTTCAACATTTCGTCCAGAAAATTTGTCTGGACTTCTTCAGGGTAATAATCAAAATCAAATCTTTATTGTAATTATTCAATCATATTCAGATGTTGACTTTAGAAAGTTGGATAACATGAGTTAGTTTTATATGTGAATCATGTGGAGAGTTCATATTGTGACGATAAATGAATGATTGTGTATTTGTATGTGTAAGTTTGAGTTATTAATAGTTGATATTAGGAGTTAATTTGTTTTTACATGATCATTTGCCAAAAGGTGGCTAGTTCAATACCATCTTTTCTGTTTAGGCTGTTCTTATTAACCCATAAATATAAAGCTTTTTCCGTCAATCCTTTTTTATACATACAAAACCCTTTCTGGATTATTTTGGCCACTTTGCAATCAATCATGTGTCCTGATTCTGACTCATTTAACACTACCACTGACCTATTTTCAAGTTACTTAAGATCAACCGAAGCTTTTGTAACATGTTTTGAAAATTACTTGTATTCCTTCAACTTTATGTTCAACTGTCTAGATGTTTCTTCGACATAAATTGTATTACAATCATGACCACTGATATCATAGATAACATTCTGTTGTTTTTCTTTGGAAACTTACGTATTCATCAAAGAAACTGGTTAGAATAGTAAATAAACATCTATCAGAGAAGCCAGAAAGAGTAAGTACATTTATGTTTAATAATTTTATTTAAAGTCGAAACTTACTGACTGTTGATCTGAGCGGTGTTGATCAGGGTATGACAATAATTACGATCAGTCGTATGGGGAAACGTTAGGTGACAATGTTCAAAATCAATCACAGAGTAATGCAGGTGTTTTAATTATTTATCTTCCACTAAATTACGCATTTCAATATTATTTCACAATATTTAATTTTTCTATTTATTTATACTAGTATATCGACTCTTAAACTATATCTTCTTTAGATAAGTTCTTGCTATGCTGATGTGATATGGTAGCTTGAGCAACTACATATTTCTATCAAGCCCTACTTATTTTAAATTACGGTTCAGTGATTTATGTTAAAGTCAACCAGTCATATGTAACGAGGAACTTAGAACATAAGTACATTGATTCAAGTTACCACACCACGTTAGCATAGTGAGATAAAATTACCAAGCCAAATCCGAGATTAGTAGAAGTAGTAACAGTAACGGTAGTGGAAAAGACCAAGTCTAAAAAGAGAATAAAAAGCATAAAAGGATTTCTAGACTCATGATATGAGGTATCAAATCATCCCACAGAAAATGTATATTCTGTAGATCATTAATTTATCTCATGAGTATTTATACATATAGTCTGAATATATGTACTTTAACAAACCTTATATTCACAGAATACCCTTCACTACATACCAATACTTTCACTCGCAAATCGAATTGATGGTACTTTTTTAAGATAATTAGAAATCATTACTTGTACGGTAGATAAGTAGCTTAGTGACTAAATCGTTTGGTTTTTAAAAATCGGTTTGTAGTTAGGTTCGTATCCTGTTCCAGCTGTTCTCGTTTAAACACGTGGGTGGTATAACTGGTCTATACAAAAAATGTGACCTAAAGCAGAGTGCACGAATCTGTACTCGGTTGGTGACTTGTTGGTTATTACATTAAATAACTTAGTTAAATGACATACCTTTGCCAGATTTGTCGATTTTCCAACACCATTAACACCGCAGAAAACAATACTGTATGGTCTTCCTTGAGTACGCGCATCCAGTGCATCACGAAGAACATCTACGCGGCGACCAGAAACTAAAATTCGAGAACAAACTTCTTCCAAACTAGCTCGAACACGAGGGTAAATTCTTTCAAATGTTCCAAGTGATGTGCCAACAAGGCGATCAGCAACGTTCGAACAAACTCTATCAGCGATTGACATAGCAACATTTTTACCAACAAGGCGTTCTCTAAGTTGCTCAAGACAAGGTGTAATATCTTCTCGAGTTAAAACACGCCCAGAACTACCAGTAATGCGTAAACCACGCAATAAACTTGAGGCAAAACCGCCATTGAGATAACCTGACTATTATAACAAAAGAAAATACACACACAATTTTCTGATCTTTTAACATTTCAAACGTTTTTTCTAAATTGATGATTAATAATGATCTACACAGCCGAATAGGCTGATAAATTTATTTCCCCATTCATTCAGATTTAAATAATACAAATATATATTAGAACATAAAATTAGACACTAAATATATATAAAAAACTGAATCAGTCCAAGTAGATTGACGAACCTTTGTTTGTTTATTATCAAGTGAACTCTTTTGAAGTTGAGAGCCGGTTGTTAAACCATTCTGTTCAACGGATTCATTCTCTTCAAGCTCTAAATCATCTAGGTCTTCATCACCTGAAGAGACATTAACTTCATCTAAATCATCTTTCATTGTCCCACGGAGACGAGATAGCGTTTCTATTTCTGTGGCAGAAAAGTTATAATCAGCTTTTTGGTTTCCTATTGACTCTGTATGATTCATACTACTAAAATCCAAAGCTGCTGCCTCCTCGCCAGTTGCTGAATTATCCCACCGACGGCTTTCTTTGATTTTTTTACCATTAGGTTTTTGCATAGGTGACAATGAAGGGCTAGATGAACATAAGGAAACATGTTTAGTACTAATAAAATAAATGTGGAATCAGTAATTGGGAATGATATATATATATATATATATATATATATATATATATATATATATATATATATATAATTCAAAATTCAACAGGCAAGATTAGTTCAAATCATAACTTTCACAAATGTCTTCTCTATACTTGGCGTCCAGTTTCTGTCAAACTATTCGTTCAAATACTGACGAATATTTGTATAGACTTGAAGATGATTCTGATAAGCGTCAGTAAGTTGTTGCAGCAACGTAATCAAAATCTTAATGTGATTCAGAAGGCAAGTGCTATTAATTAATATACTTTTTAAGTAATCTTGTCAAATCAATAAAAATTTCAAGAAAATTATGTCCAACGCTTGGTGAAGGCGAATGTCCGGAGCTTTAACTGGGTTATTGGATATGGAGGATCAATCTAAAGGAGTTGAAAAACCCTGATTCCAAACCAGTGGTGTACAGGGGCTTCAGGATCCTGAAGGAACAAACGGCGTATAAACTTGTTGTCGGTCATCGGGTTCCAAAGAACTGGATCTCCTAACGTTACCCAGCTGTATTGTGGATTAGACCTTAAGGTTAGGAGATTGAGGTGTGGTCTGTTAAGAAAACTACTTTCTTTGGTTTGGGAGCCCAGGGAGTATCCCAACCCTTACGCAAATCAAATGATGATTACTACTGAAAAATTATTCTCACTTTAATTCGCATTCAAACAAATCACATTCACAATCCTTTAATAACATTCGTTTCCATTTCTTCTTGTATTACGTCACTTACCTGCTCCTATTCATTTTCGCTTTGTGTATTCTTTTATTTTGAAACTTACAGAGAAGCTCGCCTACGGTGTTAACACTGTCTTATCTAAGCGATCTGAAGTCACTGACAGGTTGGGAGCTGAATGTTACCACCGACAGATGTTGTAGTAGAGACTTTAGTGCTCAGGTCGGGCGTCTAGGCACAGTAGAGTCGTTTAGGTGGCCGATGGGGACTTGATCGAAGATTATATAACGGTAACCAACTACTGGAACTTTGCGAAGATTGTAGCCTATTTCTGGCTAGCAACAACTATTGGCAAAGTTATCGCCAATGCGCTACCTGGCGTCCTCTCTCTACATCTCAAGCCTGGATTCAGATTGACCACATCACGACCAGCTAACGCTGGAGTGGTTGTTCCTTTTGGAGTACTTATTTGAACTCTGATCATACGCTTGTTTGCGCTAATCTTATCTTACTTTTCAGTGGCCAACAAATTCATCGTCCTAAACGAATCGATGTCAGTAAATTGGTTGCAACTTCTGTTGCAATTAAATATCAAACCGAGCTAGGTTCAAGGCTAGCTACCATCCCACCGAAAAGTATAGATGTGTTGGTTGCAATTGCATGACGCCATGAAAATGGCGAGTGAAGTCGATAGCGGCTTCGCGAAACGTCCCGCTTATAAGCGCTGGGTTTCTTCAGGTTCCCTACAACTTATTGGAGCCCATCGGTCTACTCCTGGTGACCGTGAGTTTGACCATAAACGAAGATTGTTATGTAATGAAATTGTGCAAAGCCTGCGTAAAGACCGAGAAACGAGCGTGGCAATGAGTTGAAAGTAGGAGCTGCATCTGGTAACTGTCGGAAGCCCTTTCATCTCATCCGAGTCACTGGCAGCAAGAAGTCTGGTGCGAGCGAAACAATATATGAAAATGACGGGATGTCAATGGGCAGTTTTTCGAGGGGCAGATCAACTGATCTACTGCCCCGGCGACATCGATCAGACTGTCTTGCCCTTGACGACTGATCAACCTAACAAAATGGAAATTCACAAGGAACTCCAACTCTTGATGCGCCACAAATCACCGAACCCAAATGATTTGCCTCTGGCCCTTCTTAAATATGGTGGTGACTTTATGGTTAAGAAACTGAGTTGTTTACAAAGATCTGGCACTTGGAGTGTTCTAACATCATGGAATGAGTCAATAGTTTTCCCTATCTTTAAAAGTGGTTCATGTCGTCTTTGCAACAACTATCGTGGGATAATTCTACTTCCAATTGTGTCCAAAATATAGGTTTTCGTCATACTTCATAAATTATTTAAAACCCGAAAAAGATTGACTCGTGGGAAGGCTAGTGTTCGTTTTGGTCGAGGATGTGTTGATCATATCTTCACCCTCCGCCAAATGTTAGAACACCGTCATAATAATCACAGGCCGACAATCGTAATGTTTCTTGATATTAGAGCCGCATTCCATTCGTTGGACAGGAATGTTCTCTGGGATTGTCTATTGAAGAAGGGTGTGCCTGAGAAGTTTACTAACATCTTGAAAGCCCTACATTCAAACACTTCAGACACAGTGAGAGCATACAACCGCCTTTCTCCATTGTTCCATTCTAGCAGTCGGGTTAGGTAGTGTCGCCCAATTTCACCATTCCTCTTCAACTTTGCTATCGATGACGTTCTGGAAACAGCCCTGATGGACGTAGGTGATGGTGGTGTGGATCTATTGCCTGGAGAAAGACTTCTCGACCTTAAGTATGCGGATGACATTGTCTTACTGTGTGATAATGCCCAATCCATGCAATCCGCAATTAGTGTCCGTAGGTATGGTATGTGCCTTTACAAGACTGACAGGACCCTGGGTATTGAACGGATAGAAACAGTCAGAAAGTTCGTGTATCTAGGTAGCTGCATGAGTGCTGGTGGTGGCGTGAGTGACAAGATCAATTCATATATAGTGAAAGCCAGAGCGGCTTATGCCAATCAGGACCATCTTTGGCAACTTCGTAATGTTAGTCTATTAATACTGGGTAAACCCGAACAGTATTAATAGGAGATGGAATACAATTAGCTGCCCCATGGTGAATGATCATTAATAAGTAAACTTGAACTCTTTACTCCATTTTATCTATTATCTGAATAACAGCAATTACATTCAACAATTCTAATCAGTTATCTTACCTGAATATATTAAACAATTAACTGGAACAATAAAAAATAACATAAACATTCATTTACAACTACATTCTTCCCCTTTGAATGCGTTCCTTTATCTTGTTTATTTATGTTCATTGTATGCATGCTGTGACATTGATTCATATCATACATGAAAATTGTATGTTTTCTTAAAATTCACCGACCACAGACAATATATAGTGAATGAAATTTCTTATTACACCAATTACGTATACACCCAATGTCATCTTAACACTTCGTTTTATACCACATGTCTCTTACACGCTAAAGCAAATACATAATTCAAACGTTAACGTTGATTGAATGACCTATTTAGTATACAGTGAACCAGAGAACCATGTACTTATTCATATTCCATAATTTTGATGCTTGATAAAAATTCCTTGAAAAAGCTTGGACTCGATTGCAAGGTGAAACGCTGGATTTACTTCAAATTCATTCGCTGAGATTTTACAAATACATCCTTCATTTTTATTGAATAGTTGGGTCTCCTAGTAAGATGTGAATGAAGTGTGATTTCATCGGAACGTGGTTACATTGCGAATGAAAGTTGTAACTCGAGTGGAGCAATGTGAAATATTAGAAGGAAATAGCATGCAGTAGGCAGAGAATGAAGAAAACATGCAGAAGTAATCGCGTTTATGTAACATACAACTTCGTCGACTACGTAAAACCTGGGATTACTAGACTGGATAATACCGAGAAAAGTCTGCATAACAAAGGGTCTAGTAAGAGTACAACATTATGAGATGCTATGTTTCGTAACAAGGCACACTATAAAGCACAATAAACACCACAATGAACAATTTCAAGCTGAGATCAAGACAATCTAAATACAAGTTAAATATCAAAAGTACAGAAGCGACCTACTACTGATATTACAATCAAGCCTCAGAAAATCATCTTAGGTCTATTTTTCTATCTTTTTGTTATGCCTTTTAGAGGACTAAACAATAAAACCGAAGCAACAATATTTATACTCAAGAGACTTGCCTTTTTGGTTCTTTACTTTTTTTTGATCCCTTAAACTTAGCAGCCAGTCTGAGTCTATTCTGTTCAAAAGTGTCGATGCCATTTACTGGAGGCTCTAAGAATATTGTGATAATTTCAGAGAGAAAATACCTTCCACTTTGGGTTCAGAAACTAGACTTTCCTTTTGGGCGATAGGAATATCTTTCACATCACCCTCAGTATTTTTACCCTTTCGGACAATCATAGAGGCGATAGTCTTTTTTGACTTGTCAGAATCTTTAAACTTCCGCATCTGTCTACAAAGCTATATAAATCAAAAACTGAATTTACTTGGCACTTTTACGAAGGTCACGAAACTCGTCTTCAGTGCGCTTCAGAGTAGCTTGGTAGATAGGCAAAAATTCGTCGTAAGACCCAGTTATGTCATGATTAATTAGTTTATTCTTGTACTTGTCCCTAAATTCTAGAGCTATGTCTGTCAAAAACTTATCCACATAGTTTAACTGAAGGACATTTTGATATGCGGCCTGAAAGCGTCACTCTATCAACAAAACTTACAACGAATAACAGATTGAATTCATTATCCATGTAAAATTTCATAGCCCTAGAGTCGCAGACAAAAGGTGAGCGACCAGCATTCTCCTATAAAACATGACTCCCTAAATCACACGAAACTAACCTCTAATATGAGGGATTTGAGGAATGTATTTATTGATAACCTGAATATATCTATTGATCCGGGAAAACACCATAAACGAATACCGCCTTTTGTAATGATAACAAAGAAGTCCAACATCTTAACTACGAACGGAACGATACGTTCAAAGAGGTGGCAACGTGTCGTTCACTTAAACAAATCCTTATTTCTCAGAAATAAAAGTGTACTTTATGTTTTAAGAGCCGGTCTTGTTCAGTTCAGATTGCTTAGTTCTTGAAACTTAATCACCCATAATCATTTACAAGTAATGTTTTTCATCCAGATCAGATTCGTTGGGAACACTACTAACTGAAGGCATCCGTTCAAGCATGTGAGTCATGTCACGTTCAGGCACTCTGTTGCACTGTGATAACCAATCAGCCTCAAATTCTTGCACTTAACTTACAATTTATGTGTGCGTTCAAACCCGTTATTCATGGATTTCGATCTCATTAAGAATCAAATATTTGGGTAGGATAGGGTTTCGAACAAGCAAATAACCAAAGTTTGAGTGTTCATGGCCCCTCATACAGCGCATTTCAAAGAGGGCAGTGGTAAATCTTTTATTTTTGATTTTGTCCTAAGGTACAAGAACTTTTATTCTTGTTTGAGTTGGATTTTCAGTTACAGTAGAGCAGACGTTTCGGCCCTTTGTCTTCAGTGTCTACCACTTTTAGATATTTAGATAAACCTTCTCTAGAAATGTTTTCCGTTTTTGTCAATTTTGTTCAGTTCTGTCTGTTAGCTTGTAACAGTTAAGGTCGATTAGTTAAAAGCATGTCAAAACAATGGAACTGAAGTATGCATTCACTTCCTTATTTCGTATAGCCATTATATTTCCTATTATCTTATACTGAATGTTGTAAGGCTGTGTGTGTTTGAGCGGAAACCTCTGGCACCTATACACTTGTAGTCTGGTTTCTTCTATCAATAGAACGAAGATTACCTACAGGCACGAAACGCTCGCTTGAAAATTTTGGTAAAGCAGAGTGAACATCGTTTTGGTTGATTCCTTCTTTCCGATCGATAATAGAATGAGGTATGACAATCACGACAAGTAGTATCACATACTGAGAACAGGAGTCACACCAACTGCAAACAAGATGTGTTGCGAACCGCTATCACGTTGTCTGTGTAGAGCATGCTGCTCTGGAAACCCAGAGCTCCCTATAATTTGTTTCTTCCCTGTGTGTTTCTTCTTTTTTCTTGTAACCATGTCTACATCTGTGTTTTTTAAGCGCTACGCTATTTGGGTCCATCTCGATACTTACTTACCCTCACGGAGTAGCGTAGGCCGTTCACTAGCATTCTCCACCCAATTATGTCCTGGGCAATTCTTTCCAGTTGCTACTGGTCCTTTACATTCCTGTTTTCGATTCCCGATGAAACATGTTCTTTGGTTCTCCTCTTCTCCGTTTGCCTTCAGGATTTCAAGGTAGCGCTTGCCTCGTGATGTACTTTTGTGATTTTCCTCATGTATGTTCTATCCACCACCACCGTTACTCCAAATTTCCTCTTCACATCGAAGTTGATTTGCTCTCTTCCACAATAGACTTTTTCTGATGGTATCCCGTCAAGGGTAAATGAATATCTTATGCAAACAACTGTTTATTAATATTTATCGTACGAACTATTCATGATTTTGACGCTCTTCTCAGGTACGCCAGAGTCGAAGAAGGCTCCATAAGGTTCTGTCAAAACTGTTAAATGCTTCGACGTCTGGTAGATTGAATGGAACTAGTCTAATAAAGAGTTCTTCGAAGTGTTCCACTCATCTGCGGCAAGGGCAAAACGGTAGACTCCTTCAAATCTACCTGCCAATTCGTTTCGACGATCTTTAACGGCCTGATTAGAGGCGGTCATTTCGTATTTCAATTGCCGTGGGTGTATTGAGTCGTATGAATATCAAGTTTTTCCATATTTAAGTCATCTTTCGCTGCGTGAAAAAGCACAATAAAACTGCTAAGAGCATTAATTTAGCATTCTCTTTTTTTGTAGCGTACACGTTAGCTCTGCTGTTGCTTCTTAAACTGATCTGTGATCCCAACTGCTGTAATAAACGTCAACACCTTTATATAATTTGTTGATAAGGTCCAGAAAACAAGTGTAGGAAAGATAAGATAACATTAAATGTTATAGATACGCAGAGCTTTTGTCAGTCGCTGTTAAACAAAGAAGTTAAGACGAAATGTCAACTCAACGGTAAGTCCTAAATATTTGTTGTGGTTCTCCCAGTTAGTTTTTTTTTCCAAGAATAGCTTTTTTTAATGATTACTGCGTGTTGTGTGTAGTGCTTCATGGCCAAGTGAAATTACAATGGACGTAAGCGAGGCGTTTCAACGTATTATCCCGAACAAGCGATTCGGAAGCTGGATTGAATTTGATAGTGCGCTAAAGGATTTCGATAAAGTATGGAAGAATAATTCTATGTTTTCTCAGATTACCCATACGCACTATGTTCGCGCAGAAAGTAAATTGTTGAAGATTATGAGATATAAATACTTGTTTGTGGTGTTTCATTGCACGTTTGGCCGTATTTATTTATTTATTCTAACACATAAAGATTGGTACAAGAGGGCACCAAATATATATATATGCGCCACAAAAAAAAGAGAATTCGAAGAGAAAGAAAAAAAGAACAATAACGGAGAGATTGGTGTAAGATAGTGTAATTATAATAATAATAGTAACAATGGGGGGACGGAAAGGTACAATCAGAAGAAATCTTTCAAGTAAGGGATACACGACCACTTTTTATAAAGAAAGTAAAAGAAGGTTACAGCAGGATCGCCACTGGCTTCTATTCTGAGTCATATCTGATAACGTCTCTAGCCACTGTGTAGCACCATCTCTCAGACCCCAACCAGGGAGTCATGAAGGACCGACAGAAGCCAGTCCTTTGCAGCTTTCTTTCATACCACGACACCATGTCATGCACTGATCACCTCTCCACTTCTTCCAACCAGTCCCAGAGTCGGCAAATAATGCACGACGTGGAATTCTCTGGGACGACATTCGTAGAACATATCCAAGCCACCGAAGTCGGTGTTTCAAGATGGTGACACCAATTGAATTATCATCTCTGTGCCCGAACACACGAGGCCGAACCTCTGCATTATTAACATGGTGTTGCCACTGGATGTCAAAAAACCTTCGGAGACAGCGATGATCGAACACAGAGAGTCGTCTAACGTCCTCAACTCGAAGAGGCCAGGTTTCACAAGCACAGAGCAAAAGTGCTCCCTCCAACGCGTTGTAGATCCAATCTTTTACAACCAGACAAACATTACGAAGTTGCCAAAGATGGTCCTGATTGGCATAAGCCGCTCTGGCTTTCACTATATATGAATTGATCTTGTCACTCACGCCACCACCAGCACTCATGCAGCTACCTAGATACACGAACTTTCTGACTGTTTCTATCCGTTCAATACCCAGGGTCCTGTCAGTCTTGTAAAGGCACATACCATACCTACGGACACTAATTGCGGATTGCATGGATTGGGCATTATCACACAGTAAGACAATGTCATCCGCATACTTAAGGTCGAGAAGTCTTTCTCCAGGCAATAGATCCACACCACCATCACCTACGTCCATCAGGACTGTTTCCAGAACGTCATCGATAGCAAAGTTGAAGAGGAATGGTGAAATTGGGCGACACTACCTAACCCGACTGCTAGAATGGAACAATGGAGAAAGGCGGTTGTATGCTCTCACTGTGTCTGAAGTGTTTGAATGTAGGGCTTTCAAGATGTTAGTAAACTTCTCAGGCACACCCTTCTTCAATAGACAATCCCAGAGAACATTCCTGTCCAACGAATGGAATGCGGCTCTAATATCAAGAAACATTACGATTGTCGGCCTGTGATTATTATGACGGTGTTCTAACATTTGGCGGAGGGTGAAGATATGATCAACACATCCTCGACCAAAACGAACACTAGCCTTCTCACGAGTCAATCTTTTTCGGGTTTTAAATAATTTATGAAGTATGACGAAAACCTATATTTTGGACGCAGTCGGAAGTAGATTTATCAGCAGGTCTGTCTGTGAATTAAAAACCGTGAGGACTTTAACTAATCTATGACATTTTAGGTCTCTGTTCTTAAACTGCCAATGTGGGTTTCGTATAAGATTAGAAGGTCAAGAACACATCATAAAATCTTACAACTTGTATCACAATCATCTATATAGTATTTCCTCGATGGTTTGTGATCTGTGGAGTAGAAGATTGTCATCCAAAGAGAAGGAATACTTGAATCCAGTAATTTTGCACTCTCAGTCAACAGATGAAGTTATAGAAAGTATTAAGGAGAGAACTGGTGACTAGGTTACCGTTGTTAATGTCAAAGCTATAAAAGACAAACTCCCCACTGGTAAGTGCATAGAAATATATTTCACGTTGTACTCGAAAGCAGGTAATGCATATGCTGCGACAAAACGGTAAAGTTAGGGAGCATGTAGAAAGCATTATGAAGTGGATCTAAGCACTTGTGAGTGCAATTGTAGAATATTTTTTATGTGTCGATATCCTTACCGAGACGGAGTAAAGAATATATACAAATTCAACGGCTCCAAAGAATGTGCAAATAACAAATTATTGAGAAATATGGTGAACGATTCGCGAAATAGGGGGAGAGAAAAGTCTACAATTTCTACTTAAGAGTTATCAACAACTAGAAAGCACGTTCACGATAAAAAGTTCTTTGTGGCTTTATTTTCGACTTCACTATATATACAACTTGTAAACTTATCTTTCTACTTTAGTAGTTACGGCAAATCAATAAACTTTCTCTCAATTTTTATTTTCGTCTTCTTCATACTGTGATGGGGACGTATACCAATCGTTTTAACGAATAATTGTGTGTGAGAATTAAGAACTTGTACAACTGCATTAGTTTTGAAGTGCCTTTAAAACTTAGCGTTACGTCATTGTTAATTGTGACGAATCAAAGAGTCACTTAGAACAGTAATGCGAATTCCACGTAAAACCTTACAGTTTGGGCAACCGCCTGACATAATTTTCGCTGTCGGATTACGTCTATTATCAAGTCAGTATGAGTACCGAAATGAACAATTTCATGCTGTTAGTTCCCTGATAAGATGGGTTACGTAATCCTTAAACCATCCTTCCACTCATACTTATTTGCTAACTTTA